CACCCCTGATCTAGAGCAATGATGAAAAGCCCGTAAGAATTCCCCAGATGTGACTTGAATCTTAACTCCCAATAGGCTCAGCCTATCCGGCCATTGATGGAGGTTGATGGGGATTGCATCCGGCTTTTGTTCATCATGGTTTTGTTTCGTTGCAGGTTTGCAAGTGTTTTGTCTTTCAGGAAGTTGTGGCGTTCTTGGTGCTCTCTGGGCTTGGTGGTTTCTGTTCTGACCTAGGCTTTCCCCAAAAGCACTAAGGCAAACTCTTTGTCCCGGAAAAAAACCCCTTTTATTAAATGAAGGTGACTTTCGTGTATTCACCGTCAGCCAAAGGCCTGGCAAACAGTCTTTCAAGAGTTGTAATTAGGAGCACAGGCCTTCTCTAGCTTGGAAAGCTGCTCAGTAAATATTTCCAAACGCAGTGCTGACAAGGAAGGACTCGGCACAAAGTGTCTGAGATGCACAGACAGATCTTCACACTGCAACGAACTGTTTCCTGCAAAAGCCCCCTCCCCTTTTGCTCCTCTTTTAATCCCTATGGGAGGGGCCATTCAGCGTCCACCTGTGGCCTTACTCCCATGTTGACTCTTAGTTCGTAATTTTCTTTTCTTTTGGCAGCTCTGCGCTTGCGCAGGCTGGGAACCGGCTCCAGCTGCTCCCCTGCCTCACTGCTGTCCGACTTCCGAAGGCGGCTGATGACTGCCACACTGCCCTGGCCCCATCTCTGCCTCTGACGCAGAGCCCTCGCCCGAGCCTTCCCCAGACTCCAGGCCTGGCCCGTGTTCCTCCCCAACCTCCTCACTGTCCGATTCTGCTGCCGCTTCCGCTAGCCGCCGGAGGGCCACAGCACTTCCCTTGCAGGCGTTTCATTCCCACACTAGATCACAAATTCGACCACGAAACGTCTGCAAGAAAACATCCAAGCTCAGGGGAGCACCGAGAGACCTCACAGTTCAACCCGGGGCTACAAACACTCCCTTCTCTCGGTTTCAGGAAGTTGCCGGCAAAGGGCTGAAGGCCAGCGAGTGGGTGCAGCAGGTCTCCGTGCTGATGGACGGCAAGGGGGGAGGGAAAGACCTCTCGGCCCAGGCGACGGGCAAAAACACCGATTGCCTCGAGGAAGCCCTGCAGGTGGCCACCGAATTTGCCAAGCTGAAGCTCAGTGAGTTGAAGAACTGAAGCCCCACCTGGGATCAAACTCGGGAAGGATGTTCCTGGCCTGCAGGCCAATAGCTTAGATGTTTTCTTTTAGCCGCATCGGCTGGAGGACTGGACCCTACGTAGTTGTCCTATATTCCTCCGGCATGAACTCAAGAGAGAGGGTTGGAAAAGTCGATTATCTGGATACTTGGCCATGAAGCCAGAGCTGTGTTACTTTGAGCCCCATCTCCTGAGAATAGCCATGCCCTCTCAGGACGCCTGATGGTAAGGAACTGACCCTCCAGTTGTCACATAAGTGTATCATTTTAATGCCACTGTGCAGTTTAAAGGGAATTGTGCAATTTCCTTTTCACCTGTGATTAAGCACTAAGTTCGGGGTATTATAATGTGAAAATACGCAGGGATGAGCCTGACCTGCCATCATCGCATTTCTTCTTTCTAACCGTAGAAACCTCCCTCCCTTCGTTGCTTTAACCTCCGTTAGAACAAGCCTGCCCTACCTCTGAAAAATTGGGGGTCAGATAGGGCCAGTGCTGAATAAAACAAGCAGACTCTTGTGTATCGCACAGTGGAAATAACAAGTGTGTCATTTTATGGCGCGTTGCGTGCAGAGGTTCGAATTCTCCCATGTAAGCACTAAGCTTGGTTGATCCTGCTTAGCTCTGGAGAAGGACTGATCATAAAGTCCACTCGCCTTAATTTTTACCTCCATCTTGTAGCTGCATAGCATCGGGCGGTTAAGAAACGGTAGAAGTTGCGACCTTAAATTGAGGCCAGGAAAACCAGTACTATTAGAAGTAGGGCAACTATCCTTGTTCGGGTTTTTTTTGCATTTCTAAATGAATGGCCCTTGTATGGTTATATTGGCCATTTCAAAAATATCGGCAGATAACAAGCAGTGAAAACACTGTGGGGTCCCTGGTGCTCTCGAGTTTGATAGTTCTCTTGCAGACATTTTATTACCAAACTAGGTAACGACATCAGTGCGAAATATTTGCATGCTGTCCTCCTGGGTCCTAGTTAGTTCACAGCTGCATGTAATTTACAGGAGAAGCACTTAAAAGGAAAAGGAAGTGACCCGCACCATTTTAGTGCTGGCATTCAGCTTGAGGGACAGTTCTTGAAAGCTTGCCCATCATTTGTAGAGTAATAAAATGAGACTAATAAAACTATTGCTATTGTGGGCAATAGGCAAATTTTATAATGAACAGAATATCATGAGTTTTTTTCACTGTGAATTAATTTCCCTGCTTTTGAAATAAGCAGCCTGCATGATTTCTAAATTCACCACTCCAGCAAAGTTGGGGGTAGAGTTTTTCTGCTCTCAGACACACACCTACTCATCCAGTGCACCATTAAACTCACTACTGGCTACCTAAAGTCACTCTGAAGTTACTCTGTGTAACTTATTGGTTGTTGTTTTTTTTTGGAAGACTCCAGGTCATGGTTGTCCCAAAGGTGTTTTTTCAAGAGGCAACTGGACTTCAGCTCTGGCTGGATGGTGGGGAATGGAAGGATTTATATTCCTTAGGTCAGTGGTCCCCAACCTTTTTTATGCCGTGGTCCGGTACCGACATCAGCTGGGTGCCGCCATCTTGTTTTGATGAAAAAGTGCTTCCGGTGAGCTTTCTACCCGGAAAAGCTCACCGGAAGCACTTTTTCATCAAAACAAGATGGCGGCGCCCAGCAAACCAGCGGCCTGGTAGGATTTGTTCCACGGACCGGTACCGGTCCACGGACCGGTGGTTGGGGACCCCTGCCTTAGGTCATTTGCATCCTTTTAGAGAGAGAATGCAAATTGCCAGCTGTCCTTCCATTCCCCACCATCCAGTCAGAGTTGAAGAAGCTTCCTGGACGAGAAGCAAAAGGTCTTCAAAGAAAAACCAGAAAGTCCAGCTGCCTCTTGCAAAAGCATCTTTGGTATTCTTCATTTGATGAAGTGTGTGTGTGTGTATATACATATGTACACACACGTGTATATGTATATATAATTAAAATGTCTGGTATTCAGCTTTGTTTGGGTATTTTCCCACGTCATTATAGTTGTGCTTTTAAAGTTGTAGCTTCTGTATGAACCCAATACAGAAAGAAGCCTGATGATGGCAGATGAGATTCTGCCGAAACGTTGCTACAAAACTTTAAAAGCACAACTATAATGATGTGGGAAAATACCCGAACAAAGCTGAATACCATATATATAAATACCTGCGAAAACTTAAGAAAACAATTAAAATGTGTGTGTGTGTGTGTGTGTGTGTGTGTGTGTAATTAAAATGTATGTAAACTAGATATAGATAGATACAGACACACACAGAGAGAGAGAGAGATACCGAACAGTTGCAAAGAATGAAAATGGTGTTATAAAATGAGGGAAATTGTTTAATAAAAATATTATTTAAAGAAAGAGCACCTTTGGGACAACCATGGCCTATTCATCTCCACGGACGGTCCCCGCAAACGGAGCGGCCCCTGCAATCCAAGCCTGCCGCCAAAGCGCTCCAGCCGGGCCCCCGGAAACCACCTCCGAGAAGCAGCAGCAGCAGCAGCAGCAGCAGCAGCAGCGGCCGCCTTGGAGAGCCGAAGCCGGCAGGGGGAGCTCCCGGGGAAACTTTTGTGGCCGCCTTCCTCCGCCGCCCTTCCCCTTCCGGAGCCAGGCGCGCCAAACCTGGGGCCATGCCGCTGGATCACCGGCGTGTGCCGGGCCCGGAAGAGTCCCAGTCGCCGCTGCTGTTCGTGCCCGCCGACCCGAAGGCGGGCGAGGCGGGCGAAGGCAGCCGGGACCCGTCGGCGCTGCAGCCGCTCTTCGCCCGCGTGGGGCTGCTGAGCCAAGCCAAAGGCTCGGCCTACGTGGAGCTGGACGGAGGGACCAAGGTGCTTTGCTCCGTCGCCGGGCCGCGCGAAGCCGGTGGCGGCGGCGGCGGCGGCGGGATCGGCGCTCCCCCGGCCGAGCAGCGGGGCCGGCTGGTGTGCGAGTTCCGCCGGGCGCCTTTCTCCGGCCGCGGCGCCCGCAGCCGGCCGGGCGAGAAGGAACCCGAGTTGGCTTTGGCGCTGCAGGAAGCGCTGGAACCGGCCGTGCGCCTGGCGCGCTACCCGCGGGCGCAGCTGGAGGTGAGCGCGCTGCTCCTGCAAGACGGCGGCTCTGCCTTGGCCGCCGCCCTGTGCGCCGCCGGGCTGGCGCTGGCCGACGCCGGCATCGAGCTCTACGACCTGGTGGCGGCTTGCGCGCTCAGCCGGGCGGCCGGCCCGTCGTCGGGGGGCGAGTGGCGGCTGCAACCCACCGAGCCCGAGGAGCGCGCCGCCGCCGCCCGTCTCACCGTGGCGCTCCTGCCTTCCCTCAACCAAGTGGCCGGCCTGCTGGGCAGCGGCGACGGCGGGCAGGCCGACAGCTGGGCTCAAGCGCTCCGCCTGGGGCTCGACGGCTGCCAGCGCCTTTACCCGGTGCTGCGCCAGAGCCTCTTGCGCGCCGCCAAGCGCCGGGCGCCCGATCCACAGGAGCCCGCGGAGATGGACACGGAGGAGCCTCCTCCTCCCGCGGGGACGGCCTGAAAATCGTCCTCGGGGTTTGTTTGGGTTTTTCCCCCACGCGTGGCGGCGTTTTGCTCAGGATCGGGACAGCCGGGGGACCAGGGCGCACGTCGGGACCTCGATGTAGGAAAGCACCTGAAGGATAGACGGATGCGGAGCGAGACACCTGCCTGATCCCCAAATAGGACTTAAATTTGGACACTGCCCCCCCCACCCCCGCTTTGGGGTAACTTTACTGCAACCCCCTCCCAAGAAGTTGTGACTTTTTGACTCCCAAGTTTGCACCGTTGTCTTTTTTTTTGTGTGTGTGTGTGTGTAACTCAAAAAACTCTTCTTGAACCCACAACTGCTGCCCTATTTTAGTGTAGAACTTTGTTGGTCCTGCGGAGGCGGCCTCTGACCTGTTTGTTAATGTGGGCCCTTTGGATGAAGACTTGGTTTCACAGGAGTTTCTTGCAAAGTTAGGTTAGGTTGAAGTGATGGCTGAGTTTTCACCAGAAACCACTATCCGCCTGTCTGTCTGTCTGTCTGTCTACCTACCTACCTTATCTATCTATCTATCTATCTATCTATCTATCTATCTATCTATCTAT